ACATTTGTTTAATTGAATGAATATCCCTTTTAGTAATTAATGATGAATCTTTGAAAAATGAAATCCACCACAAGACCAATAGACACTTTAATTAAATATATATTTAAACTCCTCTTTGTGTGCACACCATGGTGAATTGTTTAGTCATCAAGAAAAAATTTGATATCATCCCTTTTATAGATTTCCAATAATATTTAAATTTAAGTTTTTAATATATAAATTAATTTTTTTCAAAAAAAAAAACTAATTTGATATGAAAAAATAAAAAAAAAACCAAAATAAAATCAAAATTTTTATTTGATAAAATACCTTTTTAAAGTAAAAGACACTATTCTATAGAATTTAAGAACTAATAAATTAATATATTTTTTACCTTTGATCTGATAATTTTTTTTTTTTAACTAATTATCAAAACACCAAAAAGCAGTAATATTTGTTTTTAATCATTTTGTATATATATTTAATTTTTTTTTTTTTTTTTAACTTGGTTTAAAAATAAATAATTTTTTTATTTAAAAATAAATAATTCTATTTGTTAATAAATATTATTATTACTATAAAAAAACAAAGAAAGGGGTATGCATTAATTTCTCTCTCAAAATTTTGCACAAAATTGGAAAGTTAAAAAAGGGTGTTTTTTTTTTTTATTTTTTTTTGTCAATTAGATTGTATTAATTTTTTTTTTATTATTTTTTTTTTATGTGTTAAAGAGACAATGTTTGTTTTTGAATCATCATATAATACTGAATTTTTTAATTACAAATCTACAATCATTTGGTGTCATATCCATAATTAACGATAACTTTTTTTTTTTTTCCTTTAATAAAATTTTAAATTGGTATTTTAAATAAAGAAATATATTTTTCGTTGTATAATTTAACTTTTGAAAAAAAAAAGGGATTTTCAACATAACTAATTAATAATAAATATTTTTATTTTTATTTTTATTTTTCTAAAAAATTTATTATCCTTATTTATCTAGTTATAATTTCCATAGATTTATTTTGTCAATTTTTAAAAAAACTTGAACATAATATTTTTATTTTTATTTTTATTTTTAATTCTATTAATATGGATCATGGTGATTTTTTATTTATTACATGCCACAGTAAATTTCTTTTTAAAAAAAATAAAATTTCTTCCCAATTGTACCAAAAAAAAAAAAAAAAAAAAAAAAAAAAAAAAAAAAAAAACCTAAAAAAACTTTTTTTTAATTTTTTTTTTTAAAAAAAAAAAAATTAATCTTTTTTTTTTTTTTTTAAAAAAAAAAATTTTTAAATTTTAAAAAGTTTTGTTTTTTTTTTATAAAAAATTTAAAAAAAAAAAAAATTTAAATTTTAATTTATTTTTTTTTTTTTTTTAAATTTAAAAATTAAATTTAAAAATCCCCCAAAAAAATTGGGTCCTAGCCAATTCAAAAAAATGCAAAAAACTTTTTATTTTATTTTTAAAAAAAACTAAAGTTATTAATATTTCTTTTTATAAATCTAACCCCATAGGTTTGTCCTCCTCACCCAAAAACAAATGATTTTAGCTCTTATGACGCATCAAATTTAACCAGAATGGCAATAGAAATTTTTACCAGTGTACCCGATTTAGTCGATAGTGAAGAGGATATAAATGAAGAGATAAAAAAATCAAATAAAAAGAAATTAAAATGTCTAGATGAATTCAATTATTTTAAATCACTAAGTTTTGAAGATAAATGTCCAAACTCACACTACTTATTAATCACCTCAAACGATATTCCAAGGGCTATAAACACAATGGCCAAGAATAAAAAAGTGGATTGTATTGTTTTAGGCTCGACCGGAACCAATTCTTTAACCTCAGCATTAATTGGTTCAGTTAGTTCACAAGTTTTACAAACAGCAAATTGCTCTGTATTAATCTCCAGATAAATTTAAAAAATAACTATTTTATACCAAATGTAATATTACATTTCGGTTAATTAATTTTTCAAATAGATAACAAATTAAAATAAAAACAAAAGCAAATAAATAAAAAAGACAATAGTCAAATGTTATTTTTTTTGTATAAAAAATTAATTTTTTTATATTATTATTTTTTTATTATTTTTTTATATGTATATATTTTTTACAAGTTATCTTGTTTTAAAATTACAGTTGAGGGTGTAGTAGTACTACTATTATTATTATTTGTTGTGTTATTATCAATTGGAGTGATGGGTGATGTATCCAAACCAAATGTATCTTGTATTGATGGATGTTTCTTTTTCTTTCTAAGTGATGAAAACCAGCCTGTACCTGTTTTTGATTTTTCTGTTGCTATTGCTGATCCTGAAGTATTTTTCTTATCATCTGTATCAGATTGGTCACTTGAACTATCTTTTGATGATTGTTCTTTATTTTCTTCAGTTTTAGTTGGGTTTTGGGATCTTCTTGATAATGTTTGTCTTCTGTAAATATTAAACTCTCTTTCACCTGTTGCTGTTGTGTTTGCTCCATTTGCACCTTCAGTTGGAGTTGATCCATCTTCTTCACCATTTAAACTAGTTTTTAAAGTGCTTAAATCACAAAGTCTACCTTTTACTCTTAGAGTTGCATATTGTTGACTTAAAGCAGCTTTGGCTAAACCTGCTCTTTCTTGAGATCTCTTCATGGCATCATCATTTATAATCTTTTTATTGTCGAGATCTTCATAAACCTTCTTGATTTCACCAATCCATTGCTCTTTTTCTTTAGGTGATGAGCATAATAATTTTAATATACATGTACCAAAAGTATCTATAAGTTCAATTGTAAGATGTTGTTTCTTCATTCTTTCTTCAATAATAAGTCTTTCTTGTGACGACGATGAGGATGCGGTAATTGGTGTTGGTTGTTTAATTTGATTATGACTATTGATGGGTGGAATTGCACCAGTAGCAGTGGTTGATGCTCTTGGTTTACCATTTATGGTATTATTTGTTGAAGTGGTGGTACTAGATACTGGTGATTGTAATGATGAGACTGGAGTTGGTGATGGTGGTTTAACACCAATAGTTAATTTTGATGCATTTGAATTTATAACTGGTGATGAATTTGGTGTAGTATTATTTGATGGTGAGGAAGCTGCACCTAAAGCCGCAGTTGGTTTGTTTTCTGATGTTGGCATTGCGACATTAAATGTAGCTTGTGATCTTGGAGGTGGAGCTGGTTTAGCCGATGGTTTAACGGTTGCTGGTTTAAATTGTGTAGAGGGGGCAGATGATGATAATTGTGAATGTGTGGATGTCGAATTTGCATTTGCATTTGGAGTTGATGATGATAATGATGATGATGAGGATGATGGAGTTGAAGAGGAACTTAATAGAGATGAAGCTGATGATGATTTTGGTGCTGTTGAAATTCTAGTTGGTACACCACTAGCAACAGAGTCATTATTCTTTTCTTTATTATCTCTTTCACTGGTTATTAAATTTCTATTTGTTTGTCTAATTGAAACTAGATTCATTCTAATTGATTCTTTAACCTTTAAATTTACTTTTTTCTTTACCAAACCACTTGTGATTGGTTTAGTACCAATTAAAACATCATTAAATAAATAAAAAACTCTATGTGATTCTTTACCATTTGGTCCAATAACTGTGAGTGGTCCCTCAAATACGAATCTTCTATGTGGTTCAGCTAAATTTTCAAATTTACCAATAAAGTTATTTTGAATTTCTGTAACTTTTGCAATATTTTCGGCTTCTCTTTTCTTTTCGTTAACATATAATGCAACCTCTTGCATTTTCTTTAAACTTAATGTTAAATTTGTGTAATCTAAATGATCAGCCCATGTATTTTTAACCAAATCCTAAAAAAAAGTATTAGTAAATAATGATATTCAATAGAAAAATATAGAATTAAATAAATATTTACAGTTAATAATAAAGTATATCTCGGAATTCTTTGGATTGGTAAAATTAAATAAGTTCCAACAGTTTTATAATTATCTGAATATTCTTTTTCAACAATAAATGCTTCGAATTTTGAATTATTTTTTCTAAGGTTATTAATAGTTTCAAAAAAGATACTATATTCTTTAACATATTGAGTATAAACTTTTAAATAAAGTGTCTAAAAGTTAAAATATAAAATATTAGTATATTGTTTTCAAAATATAACTATAATAAATATAACTTACAAATTGTTCGAAAACATCACCAATGGTTTGAGAATGTGACCAATTATCTACTTTTGGTTTTATGATATCCAATAAATTTTTATTGTAATTAATAATAACTTCCAAATTTGAAATTAATAAACCAAAATGATCCATTTTTATATTTAATTTTGATGATTCCTCACGCATTGGATTAAAGTAATGAGAAAGTAAATGTTCTAAGTTTTCGATATAAACCTTTTCTGTTGCTAAAAGCTCCTTTACAATATTATGTCTGTAAGCGGCGTATCTAACTCTTTTAAGATAGGCTCTTCTTGCTAAATGTCCTCTTACTAATGATTGAATTCTAATCCATTTCTTTTCATAGGGTTTGGCTTTATCTAAAATTTGTGCGACTGAAAGTGGTGCTCTTGGTTTATTGTTTGCTGGAGTCGAAACAATTCTGGACTGGAATAATCTACTACCAACTGATTGACCGCCGCTACTACCACTACTTGTGGTTGATGTTCCACTATTAGAAAGACGATTGTTGGCACTACCACTAGATGATAATGAAGATCCACTAGATGTAAGACTAGTTGTAAATCTTTTTGGTTCGGCACCAGTTAGTTTTTTAAGTGCTTGTCTTTTAACAGAAGTGACGTTTAATTTCTTTAAAAGAGCTTCAGTATCGCTAATTTGTTTTTCGGTAAAATGAATTTTTAATGACTCTTCATCAGAGAATTCTATTGGTTTTTCGAAATCGGTACAATCATCTGCCAAAACTTCTAATGACTCTAATACTTTTAGTAAATTCTTTTTTTCGATAAGATCTGCAATTTGAAATTGAAAGTGTCTGCTAATACCAACGTCATCTAATGCCTGAATATAAAAACAAAGATTCTCTCTAATCTTGAAATTTAAAATTGTATCACCTGTATGTATTTTTGGAATTGAATTGCTCTTTAAAGTTGACATTAATTTACAAAGAATAACACCATTCATAAGTTTTCCAAATAATAATAAATCTGAATCCTCATCATCGTTTCCTAATGATTCGTTTAAAATCTTTTCTATCCATCTTTTAATTGATAAACTTCTTAATAAAAATGAAAGGCAACTTTGAACAATAGTACCAGCATTAACTGAATTGATATTGGATCTCCTTAATGAATTTGTTAAATTATTAATAGTTATTTGATCATTTTGTGGTTGTTGTTGTTGTTGTTGCTTTTGTTCCATTATATGTATATTTTGAATATATAATATTTATATAAAAATAAAATAAATGATAAGTTTTTTTCTTTTTTTTTTTTTGGTATTTTATTATTTTGGTGAGGAAAAAAATAATTAAAAATTAAAAAAAAGTGTTTTTTTTGTCTCTTGTTTTCCAAAGCAGTTAATATTTGGAGTTGTGTGTGATTTGTGTTTTTATTATTTTGTTGTTTTATTATTTTGGTGGGGTAAATGTGTATATATGTGAATAGTTGATGGGTGGGGGTGATTAAAAAAACTAATTTTTGAAAATTAAATTTTTATTAAAAATAAATAGAAGAAATACAGTTATATTATTTATTTTATATATATAATATATATATATTTAAAAATATAGGCTAATAATACAACAATTATTATATATCTGTATAATATCAAAATTATTATTTTTAACAATGACAAATAAAAATTTCCACAAATTTTTTAAAAAAAATAAAAAAAAAAAATAAAAATAAAAAAAAAAGAAAATTTTTATTCAAAAAAAAAAATTTTAAATTTTTTTGGTGTAACTGATATTTTTGATTTATTTTGATTTATTATTCTTTATTTCTGTATTTCTTAATCACTTTTTTTTTTATAGTTGATTATAATATTGAAAAACTAATAATGTATGAAAAATAATTATCTTTTTTTTTTTTTTAAAAATTAATTTTAAAAATAATAAACAAAAAAATTTATAAAGGGACTTTATTCACCTGTTTTTATTTTAAAATTGCCAATCAATTTTATTAAAAATTGTTTTCATAAGAAAGGCACTTAAAGTTAATTTGATGTGTATTAGGTACTATTTTGTGTTGTGAGAAAACTTGTTTTATACAAATCTGTTGTATTTTGAGGTATGGATTATCATAGTTTATAAAAGATATTATTGTAAATGTGAATTATTTAAAAAAATATTTTTTTTTTTTTTTTTTTTTCAATTTTTTTTTTTTAATTTTTTTTAAAATTAAAATTTTTTTTTTTTGTTAAAATTTATATTTTTTGTACAAAGTTAATTAATATTATAATAATTACCACATATATCTATTATTAAAAAATGAATAAAAAATATGATAAATTAGGCACTGATGTTTTTAATAAAGTCGAAAAAATTGTATGTACAGAAATACAAAAAAAAAAAAAAAAAAAGAAAAACCAAGTAATCTAATATCATTTTAAATAACAAAATAATAATAAAATATATGTTTAGAGCTCAGAACTATTTACATTAACATATGGCGCATTGGTCACCCAGTTAATTAAAGATTACGAAGATATTGAACAAGTTAATATTAAATTAGAACAAATGGGATATAATATAGGTATTCGTTTGATTGAAGAGTTTTTAGCAAAATCAGGTATTGGTAGATGTCAAGATTTTATTGAAACTGCCGAAGTTATTGCCAAGGTTGGTTTCAAAATGTTTTTAGGTGTAACAGCACATATCAGTGACTGGGATAGCGACAAAAAAGAATTTCATTTAATCATCGAAGATAACCCACTTATCGATTTTGTAGAATTACCAGATCATTATAAACATAAACTTTACTATTCAAATATACTTTGTGGTGTAATTAGAGGTGCTTTAGAAATGGTACAAATGAAGGTTAAATGTACTTTTGTAAAATGTGCTCTCAGTGACGAATCCACATCAGAAATTAAAGTTGTTTTAGAAGAAGTTTTATCAGATTTAATTCCAGTAGGTTATGATTAAAGAAAAACAACAAATAATAAAAAAATGAAATAAAATAAAATATATGTAATTTAATTTTTTAAAAACAATAGGATAATTGGGTTATTTTTTTAATAAATATTACAATCTTTTTATTATTACTTGGTTAACAAATGTTTAAAACATTTCTTCTTGTTGTGGTTGTTGTGGGTGATGATGTTCAGATGATTGTTCTTGTTGTTGTTGTTGTTATTGTTGTTGTTGATGCTGTTGTTTTTGTTTTACTTGTTCTAATAAAAAGTTTGATACTAAAAAGATAAAAAAAATAAAATAAAATTAATAAATTGGTATATTACTTTTTGCATATATCTAAGATTATTACCTGTAGCATTTAATGGTTCACCGCCACAACAAATATAGCAGTCACCATCGACAAAATCATCCATTGTTTTAACGAGTTTTCCATCAGCAGAGAAGGCCTTTCTAACAGAGCCAGTTGGTAATTGAACTTGCTTTGATAATTGCTCTTTTAATTGATCATAGGTTTTAAATTTGGTAGAGTGAATTGTAACTCTTTCACCCTTGTGATACTTATCACCATTTCTATATGCATAAACAACTTTTGCTTTTTCAGTTTGTACAGAGAATTTATCTTGGGTAAGACCATCCTTATATGCTGCAACCACTGGTTTTCTTACTGGTGATGCAGTTACTGGTGTGGTGGATGATGGTGATGGTTGTGATGGTTTGGATGGTGATTTTGGTGGTGGTGGTACTGATGGTACAAATGTTGTTGATGTTGGTGGTGTATGAGCTGACTCTTCTGGCATTGGTTCTGCCTTACCAAAAATATCCTGTATACCTTTTGGAATAACTTCATCATTTAATTTCTCGCCTCCACAGCAAATATAATTATGGTGATCAACAAAACCATCTATATCTTTAACTAGTTTTTTATCCATGCTATAGACTTTAACAACATTACCAACAAATAATTGAATTTTTTTACTAAATTCCAATTTTAACTAAGATTCAAATAATAGTAATGGTTAATATTAATATATTTCTATAAAAAAATCTTATTATTATGTAAAACATACCTGGTCATAGGTTTTAAAATTTTTTGGGTGCACTACAATTTTGACACCCTCCGATTGGTATCTGTCTCCATTTCTCCATAAAGTTAAATGAAGACTAAGTGAGGTTTGTAATCCAAATTTTTGCATTGGTCTAGATGGAGTAGTCATTTTTAAAATTTAATAAATAATATAGAGATTTAATTAATATAATGAAATATGAAATATGAAATAATTTTAAATTGTTTTGTGTTATTAAGAAATGTGATGAAATTATTAGTATTATTATTGTTGTTTTTTTTTTAAAAAAAAAAATTTTATTGTTTTTATTATTATATTTTATTTTTAGTGAATTCACACTTGTGTGTGTTTGTGTGTTTATAATTTTAATTTAATAAAAAAAAAAATGGTATTAACGGTTGGTTACATACTTTTTTTTCTTTTTTTTTTTTGTTGTTTTTTAATTTAATATAAATTGTAATAATAATAATTTTGATAAAGTTTATAAATAATTAAAAAAAATAAAATAATAAAAAAAATTTTATTTTTTTAATTTTTTTTATTTTTTGATTATTATAAAATATTTTTTTTTTGGCAACCGCTAAAATTCATTTTATTATTTATAAAAATTTTGCAAAGATGATTAAACAAATTCATTGAAAAACTCAATGAGAAAAAAAAGAAAAAAAAAAAAAAGGAAATTACATTAAAGAATTGTTTATATGTAATATTATTTCTTTTAAAAATTTAAAAAAAATTTTTTTTTTTTTTTTTATATCTATTTAAAGTTATTGATCTAACAACTTAAAATATTTTTGATCTGTTATTAAAAACTTAAATTTAAATTTAACACACATCCCTAAATAATTATATTTATTTATATGTAAATTTTTTTAATCCAATTATTTAAATTTTAAACCTTTTATTTTAAAAAATATAAAAAAACTTTATAAAATAAAAATGATAAATATATTAAAATTAGTTTTTATATTTTTATTATTTATATCCATTACTAGAGCATATGAAATAATTATTGATTACAATCAAAATAATCTTTATTACAATTCAAGGTGCGGGGGAGCTATTGATGTAAATGATCATAGTGTGTATCCAACTTGTAACTCTATCAAAGATGCAGCAAATAGATCAAGAATGATTAATAGAAATTCATTTTTTAACTCATCAATTATATTTTATTTAATTGGTAATGATTATAGTCCAATTACAATCAAAGATGAAAACTACTTTGATAAATTGGATTTCTTTGAAAAAATCAATATTGTGGCAATATATAAAAACAAAACAATAATTAAAACACCAAGAATTATCATTAGTGGAGAACTTGCTAAAAACAATTTTTTAACAACTACAAATAACAAACAGGCAAATAGCACTAGCCAAATAATAAGAGTAGAGGGCATTAGATTTATGGATTGGGATGTGTTATATGGCGGTAAAGAAAAATATTTATTTGTATCAATGTCGGTAAGTAATTTAATCGAATTAACTAATAACTATTTTTACAATACTAGATATTTCTTATTTTTCAATATAACACAAGAAAATATTAACTATGGAACTGATCAAATATTAATTTACAACTGTACTTTTGAAAAAATAAATTCTATTGATTCTCAATACTGGGCTAAAACAGTTAACATAACCAACACCTTATTTATAGATAACAATTATGCTCTATTCCATACTAATGCACTAAGAACATTTATAAATGGTTGCACTTTTAAAAACAACAATATTTATCAAGAAAATGGATTACTTAATTTTCAAAATACCAATGGGAGTATAGAAATAAGAGACTCATTTTTATACAACAATTCTTTTTCCCAACTAGTTGTTTGTGGAGATCATAGAAATATTAGTAAATATAATATTACAATTTCAAATTGTAATTTCCATAATAATTATTTTATTGAAAATACACATTCACCAAAAAATAACTACTACTTTATAAATCTCCTATCGTCACCGATGGTTGGAAGATAGATATTAAAGATTCAAAGTTTAAAAACAGTATTAAAACCAAAATAAGAAATGGGTTTATTAATGGAGGTAGAGGAATAGGTAATATTAATTTAAAAAACATTTCAATTATTAACTACTCGTTTTTTAGCCTAGTAAATGCATTTAACTCAAATATTACAATATCAGAAATATATTGGTTTAAAGAAGATATGGTGCAAGGAGAGGGAAATAAAATTAAAATAGAAAAAAAAAGTTCAAATCATAAAAAAATAATAACTATATTATTGGTCTCTTTTTTTATGGTTGTTGCATTTTTAATCGGTTCAACTATATTAATAAAAAAGATATTTAAAAACTCTCAAAAAAATAATGATCAGTTCATTATTTTAAATGAACAATAAAAAAGAGTTTCAAGAAATAAATTACCTTTTTTAACCACCTCAATAAAAAGATAATGTTTTTTTATTCCTGATCCAATAAAAATATTAAATAATAAGTTAAAAAATATAAAGTTTCTTTTAAATATTTTTTTTTATTTTTTGTTTATATATTTATCTGTGATGGGGCACTAAATAAAAAAAAAAAGATATTAATTCGAAGTATATATTTCTAAATCCAATTTGTAATGTTTTAAATTGATAATATTGTCTATCATCTGTATCGAAAATAATTTGAATAGAAAATTAAAAGAAATAAATTAAAAAAAAAAAAAATAAAAAAATAAGACAAGGTATTATAATTAGGGTTTTATAAAAAAAATTAATAGTATTAATTATTAATTATTGTTATTATTATATTATAGTTTTTGTGCATAGGGGGGGTGTATATAATGGTGTTTGTATTTTAAATTTTGTTGATTTTGGACCCGGTGACAACAGGATTAGCTTTGGCAAGGGCAGCTTTACCAGCTGATTTGTAATCATAAGAGCAATCGTGTTTATCGGAATATCTGTGAGCGGAACAATATACAAAGCTACAACGACATTTAAAACCTAATAAACCAACTTTTTTACTACAACTAAAACATTTGGTTGTATCGGTTTGAACTTTCTTTGGTTGGTCTTCAGGGTTTTCTATATTTTCTGGTGTAGCGCTGGTTGTTGTATCGACAACTGTTACTTTATTTTCTAATTTTTCTTCTGGTTTTTTAGTTTCTTCTTCTTGTTTCTTTGGATGAATTTCTTTGAAACATTTCGAGCATAAATTATCGTTTAATGGGTTACCAAAGAAACCACATTGATTGGCACATGGGATTGGGTTATTTGGTTTTTGAGTTGAGTCACCGTCCATTTTTAATTATATTATATTTTTGTTATTGAGAAAAAAAAATTATATATATATATATTATTATAAAAAATTTGTATTTGTTGATTGATTTGTAAATAAAAACTAACTATATATTTGTTGTTGTTATTATTGTATCTATTCTATTTGGTATAATGTACAAGTTTGGTTTTTAAATTTATCTAAATTATTTAAAAACTAATTCTAATTTTATAAAGAGAAATAATATTAATATTAAGTTGATGGTATTGAAGAAAAAAAAATTATATTTATATATGTTTATATAAGATTCTAAAAAATTATTTATATGATTGATAAAAAATATGTACAAAAAAAAAAAAATTATGTTATTGATTAAAATGCGTGAACTTGGATGAAAGTAAAATAAAATTTTTTTTTATTTTTTTTTTCTTTTTATTTTAAAAAAAATAAGAAAAAAAATAAAATAAAAAAAAATAAAATAAAATTAAAAAAAATAAAAAAAGAGTTTTCTAAAAATTTTTTTCAAAATAAAATGAAAAAAATGTTAAAAAATATTTATTTTAATTAATAAAAAAAAAAAAAATAAAAAAATTAAATTGCACAAATTTAAGAGAACACTAACTTATAATTTGTTGAAATCTAACGTCTGGGTTCTCCCAAAAATTAAAAAATAAAAAAATTGAAAAATAAAAACACATACAATTGGTATTAAAAATAAGATCTATATC